GGGAAAGAGATAGAGAGAGAGAAAGGAGTAAAGGGACGCTGCTTTTAGGGGGGAGGGAGGGAGCTTTGTCGTTGTTGTTGTGAGCAGTCAAAGCAACAAGTTTAGCGGCTTCGCGCTTTCGGGTTTTCTTTCTTTCGCCCACTCTTCTCTCGCCACGTGTCCCATTCTCCGTTCTTTTATTTACACAACATTTATTATTATTAATCTTTATTACGATAGAAAACTTCTTACCAAGTTTTATATTTATATATGGATTTTAGGGATGTCTCTTTGATTGTTTTTATGACGCTTTTTTTTTGGTTGTTGAAATTTTCGTAGAAACTAGATACAATATTGGATTTTGGATCCGTCTAATCTAAATCAGGATTTTATTCGGATTACGTCAAACAATAAACACGTCAATTTATAAGAGGTTTTCTATTCAAAATCTTATATGAAATCTAAAAGTGCACCTGTTAATTCTTTTAAGTTGTTAACACCTGGCAGACTTTAAAAATGATATCAATATTTTCTCATACCTATATTAACGCCACGTTAACGAAACATCATTCTCATACTATATCAGAAATATATATATATATATATATATATATATATAACATATCCATATTCAGTTTATGCTACGTAAATATATATAATTTCATTAAAGCATATTCTCATACATATGTATATATATAAATAGATCTTGGTTTTAGATTTTTTCCAATTTTTTTAAAATATGAACAAATCATATGTAACTTCATTAAATCATATTCTCATTAATATTCTATTGAAATTAGGTATTTTTAGTTAAGGGTAAATTTAAATTTTCTTAAAAAAATAATGTAAAAAATTAAAACGATATTTATTAAGTAAAAAATTTATTTTCAAAACTATGCAGAGAGTAGAATGTTACAGTTTGAAGTTGCAAATATTAAATAAATGTTGTCCAAGCGGCGCCTAGAAAGCAGAGAAGAAGCGCCCAAAACGTGGCGAATCGGGAGAACGCGCGGCTCAGCAACCGCGGTTCGGTTTTCCTTTGCCCCGATCTCACGGAGCGTGTAACTCACGCGTTACACATGCGCGTGACTTTATGTTTACCTCATCTCAACGGCCTTTGACTGCCTCCCTGCCGCCCCGGGAAAAGTGGGCCCTACCTTTAGCTTTTCGATTTTTTTATTTTAAATTCATTAAAAACTCATTTAATCAAAAGTGCCACGTGGTAATCCAGACACGTGGACCGCGAACAATGGTTAGAGGGAGGCCCATCGATTAACCGCGGTTATAACGGCGGTGACTCCGCCGTCAAGCGTTTGGTCGCGTATTCGTTTTGTTTCCTAAAAGGGAGAATTATATTTGACGGCAGCTGACTTCATATTTGATTAAATTAGTTAGCTTAATTAATATAATTAGTTGGTTAATTGCTTAATTGCGTTTTTTTTCTTTCCGGCGGGAAATTAGAATTAGTTAAGCATTAAATGGGATTAGTTGAAGACAAGTAATTCTGAAGTAATATGTCAGGTTATTATGATGCCGTTATTAATTCTTTATGCTATATTAGATGGTGCATCACCTCACCATGATTCAGACATTTATTGTTTGTTCTTTTATAAGAAAAAACTCTACAAGATGTCCGAATATGATACAAAAAATTATTTGGATTTTTGAACAAAAAAATTCAAAACTCCCCAAGAAAAAAATTATGTTTTCGAGATCTGCATTTCATTACAACTAAGTTCGGATTTTCATTTTAAAATGGCCAAGTTTTGAAAAAAAATATCGAGTATTTTTATTCCCTCGTTCCGCACCAATCAAAGTTATTTGAATATGGCATCGTCTACATAAAAAATGAGTTGAGATTTGTTAATGAAATTTGACTGTTTCAAAGTTTTTACTGTTACTGAGCTGATTACAAACGAATTAAATGTGGTTAAAATAATACATGCATATACTCTATGGAATTATATTTAAAAATTCATTGGTTATACAGTTTTAAAATTAAATTGATTAAATTTGAATGAAAAAACTCTTTTTAAAAAAATATTTTTTTTTTATGAAAATGAGTATAACTGAAATTGAAAATTAATATAACAATTAAATAAATATAATTTTCAGAATGATAAAATCAGAATAAAAAAAATACTAAATCATAGCGTGGAAATTTTTTCTTATGGATAATTTTGAAAAGAAAAGTTTAAATTCGGGCCAAAGGAAAACCATGTAAACAATTCCAGAGTCCAAAGCCCGGAGACAGAGATCATGCATGGAAAAATCAAATTCCGAATCCTATCTGAGCTACGAAATGCTCCATGGCGCTACCGGATTTCTTCGCCTTCCTCATCTGTCGCTCTTCGAAGTTTCCTACAGCCAAAGAGACCTAATCATGAACACATCCTTACAATCTCTGGGTTTCGGTTTCAGAAAGATCGTCAAGCTGCTTCCTTTGTTCATTCTGCATCTGCTTCCGGCAAATTCACCGATTTCAACAATACCCAATTCGAGCAATCTGCCATTGATGTTCACAACATCCTCAAGAATCACCGTGAAAGATCGATCGAAGTGATTGAGCGCGTTCTTCACAAGTGCGGGATTAAGTTAACCGAAAGGTTGTGTCTTGACGTGCTTAATCGGAGTCGATCCGATTGGAGACCCGCTTATATCCTCTTCGAACTGATCTGTAAACAAGATATTTGTTTACCAGGGGCTGCTGTTTACAATCAGATTCTAGACGTTCTTGGCAAAATGCGGCGATTTGATGAGTTCCACCAAGTGTTCGACGAAATGTCTAAGAGAAACGGTCTTGCGAATGAGGAGACGTATGAAGTCCTGCTCAATCGGTATGCTGCTTCCCACAGAGTGGATGAAGCCATTGCCATATACGGAAGGAGGAGAGAATTCGGGATTGAGGACGATCTGGCCGCGTTTCAAGGGCTCCTGATGTGGTTGTGTCGGTATAAGCATGTCGAAGTGGCGGAAACCTTGTTCTGCTCCAAGAGAAGTGAGTATGGCACTGTGATAAAGACGATGAACATTATTCTCAACGGGTGGTGCGTTCTGGGGAATGTGCATGAAGCCAAGAGGTTTTGGAAGGATATCCTCGCTTCTGATTGCAAGCCCGACGCTTTCACCTACGGGACTTTCATAAATGCGTTGACTAAGAAGGGGAAACTGGGGAAGGCCATGGAGCTATTCAGAGCCATGTGGAAAAGCGGAAGAGTCCACGATGTCAAAATCTGCAATAACGTTATCGATGCCTTGTGTTTCAAGAAAAGATTCCCCGAGGCTTTTGAAGTGCTGGAGGAGATGATCAAGAGAGGTTGCTCCCCGAATGTCGTCACTTACAACACGTTCTTGAAGCATCTGTGCAAGATCAGGAGAACGGACAAGGTCTATGAGCTGTTGGAAGTGATGGAGCAGAGAGGTGGAAGCTGTTTGCCCAATGAAGTGACTTTCAGCCACTTGCTAAAGAACTCGAGGGAGCCTCGAGATGTCGAGGCGATCTCGGAGAGGATGGCTAAGAACAGATGCAACATGACAAGTGATTTGTACAATATGATCTTTAGGTTGTACATGAAGTGGGACTGCAAAGAGAGGGCGAATGAGATATGGGATGAGATGGAGAGAAGTGGGTTCGGACCAGATCAAAGGACATATACCATTAGAGTTCATTGCTTGCATGAGCATGGGAGAATCGCAGAAGCATTGCGTTACTATCGAGAAATGGTGTCGAGAGGATTGGCGCCGGAGCCAAGAACTGAGGCATTGGTGAAGGAGACGAAGATCGATCTAAAGGAATTTCATGCAATGGAGTAAAGAGCGGTGGGGAAGTAGAGACTATGGCCGGAAATATCAAACGGAACAGAAGAGAACTGACTATGAAAGCTAGGAATCCTTTTTCTACGCATTATTATCTTTCCAGCCATCGCTAATAGATACTAGATCTCATAGCAGTTAAATCATTTTGTATCACAAACAAAAATATAGGAAAATCGTATATAAATATTTCAATTTTTAAAAATGTATCAAATTAGATTTTTAATTTATCTAATTGGTATATCAAATATTAAAATACTCTAAATCGATAACGCGATTATCAATATCTATATCGAATCATAAAAAAGGATACATCTGTACTAAAAGCTTTGAAACAATATATGCCAATATTTTCTTTTTTAGAAAATTAAATAATGTCTTTGCCCAGTGTACATGGAAGGAAATAATAGTCATATTGGTTATCCAAACCATTTGAACATAAACCATTTTGGTTTAATAAATTATTGGTTTGGGTTGGGTTTAACCCAATAACAATAGTTAAATGGGTTGGATCAACCCATAAAACTCATTTTAATCCATTTAATCACTTTAGTACTCTAAATGCTTTCTAAGAATAAAAAAAATATTCAATTACATTATCATTCTATTTTCATAGAATTTAAAAAGAATTTTTTTTCTAATTTTAAAATACTAAAAAATAATTTTATATACGTAATTTAATATTCTAAAATTATAATTTTTTATGTATGACGAAAAATATCTATATATATATATATATATATATATATATATATATAATTATATTAAATTACGTTAATATCAATATCTAAAAAATAAAATAAATAATATATGTAAATAAAATAATTCAAATTAAGTTCATTTCGATTCGTATCGATTCAAATTCATTTCGAATCAATTCGATTCGAATAGATCCGTTTTGATTCATTTCGAGTCAAATTCGGTTCGATTCGGATCGAATTGATTCGTTCTGAGTTGAATTCGATTAAGATCAAATCAATCCGTTTTGATTCGTTTCGAGTCGAATTCGATTCAGATCGATTCGATATATTTTAATTTATTTCGAGTCGAATTCGATTCGATTCGAATCGAATTTATCGTTTTGATTAGTTTCGAGTCAAATTCAATTATGATCAAATCAATTCGTTTGACTCGGTTTTTGATTATTTTTATATTTTTTTGAATTCAATTTTTATTTTTAAATAAATTTTGTACATTCGATTTTATATCGAATTTTAACATATCTAATTTGATTGGATTAATTCAATTTTTGTTTTGAAATATAAATATATTGACTTTATTTATAAATATATTTTAAATATTTTATTGAAAACTAATATCAATAATGTTTAATGGGTTATTTGGGTTAACCCATTAAACCCATGATTTTAATGGGTTAAAACCCATTTAACCCATAAAACAATTATTACCCAAAAAATAATCTAAATGTAATAATAATTGGGTTGGGTTGGGTTAACCCATCTAAACCAACCCAATTTGACATCTATAGAAGGAAAGGAAACTATTTATAAGTTTATCACTAATCGATTTAAAAGCAAAAAATAAAAAAATCAAATACAACGGATTTGTATTAGAGTTTGTTGATAACATTCTTTCTTTTATTTTTATTTTATAAATTCTATCTTGATGGGTTTAACTGCCAATAATGACAAAATCTGATTCTAAAGAATAATATAACGACCATATTTTATAGCAAAAAATGCCATTTCACGAATCAAACGCAATTTTAAGTTACATTTCAAGAGAAATCAAACATTACCAAAATCACAGTTTAGGGTTCATCACAATTGTATCCCAAGATTTCTTCGATTCGCGTTGTTTCCTTATTGTTTGTTAAACTTTATCTCTAAGACGATTCAATCAAGTTATTAACGCGTACTTTATTTCACAAGTAATAATTCCTATAAATCCTCAAGGGTTTAGGGGTTTCAGGCTCTCTCTCACATTCCACAGTCGTGAGTTTTGTTAGTGTAAATCTCCATAGTCGCATTCATCACAGGCATTGAAGAGAATATGAATCTGTTCTAGCAAAGGAATTCAAGGTTTTGCATGTTTCTTCGTTGCTTTTCACAGTGAAAATATTTCTGCATGATCCATTATGTAATTTTCGTGTTCTCATATGTTATTTCGACCCCTTTATCATAAATATCTTATGCACAACTTATCTTACAGTACGTACCATGTAAAATAAGTCATTATAATTTCCTAACTTGTTTTTGAATCGAAGTCGTCATTATAATTTTCAAACTTGTATAATATGTTATTATAATTCTCTAACTTGTTTTTGAATCGAAATCGTCGAGGTTGGAGAATCGTGGTGGAGCAGCTCCAAACGTGAACATGCAAGCTCGTCCTCTTCGACAGTGGAATGATTCGTATGCCCGGATTGGAAATTCTAACTACATGCAAGCTCGTCCTCTTCGACAGTGGAATGACACTACTAGAAAACACGGAAAAGGTGACGCAAAAGGTGACGCAAAATTTGCGTCACTAAAATGGTGACGCAAAAGTGACGCAAATAGTGACGCAATATTTTCGTCACTAAAGCGTCACTAAATAGTGACGCAATAGTGACGCAAATAGTTGCGTCACTAAACGGTGACACAAAAAATAACGCAAAATTTGCGTCACGAAAAAAGGTGACGCAAGAGTGACGCAAATAGTTGCGTCACCCTTTGGTGACGCAATTTAGTCACCTTTTAGTGACGCAATTGCGTCACTATATCTGTATTTTATTATTTATACGTATAAACATACAAATATTTATATTAAGTATATATTTTCTATATACATATATATATATATGTATTTGTACGTATAAATATACAAATATTTCCATATAAATATAAATTTTATATATACGTATATTATATATATATTTGTATGTATAAATATATAAATATACGAATATATATATAAAACGTAAATTTTATGTATACGTATATATTATATATATGTGTATTTGTATATACAAATATACGAGTATTTTATATATAAATGTGTATTTTACATATACATATATATACTATATATTTATATATATATCATCATATATATGAATATATATATATATAATCGTATATATATATATGCATATATTTATACATACAAACATATATTA